TTTCGCTTTCACAACGAAACACACAGCGTCTTCACAACATGGCGGAGGCGGTGGCAGCAACAATAAAGTTACGCCTTCTTTCTTTGCGTGAACATTTGGGCGGTGTTATGCAAATCTTCCCACATCGTGACGTAGACATGTGGGGGCGTGTTTAAACGAGGCGTTTTAGGAGGGTGTGGACAAGTCTTACAGTTTTTTACAATCATTTTTGCACTAATAACAGAACCTTTATGTCATTACTCTAGACACATAATTCACAACCAATGATCAAAATGCACGTTTTTAAATGTGTTAAAAACACTTAACACTTTTTTCAAATGCTTGGATACAATACATATAAGCCAAAGATCATTTGTCCATTGAACTAAAATCACTTAACATCTTAACATCAAAGTATTACTATTTCAAAATGCAACTCACACAGTACATCTGAGTTGAGTGTCTATTCATTTCATTACAAAGATCTAACTATCAATTGATACAACTGCTCAAAATGATAAGTAACTGTTGCATTACTCTTGATGCATAGCTTTAATGGAAACTGATGAACAATATTCCATGTTTAGATCATGAAAGTTTCAGGACAGATCAATTGACACCAATTACCACAGAATATGACCCAGATGGACTACATTATCTATGGATGTCATATTTCATTCTTTATCAGATATGGTTTCTATGGTCCCATGTACCACTTTTACAGAACACATTTTCATATTCAACATTACTGTACACAAGATGTCAATTTTACGTAATTGCTTTTGTGGTTTTAATGAGTTAATGGCGACTCATTACTGCTGATTGATTTCACATATTTGTACGCATATATAAGTAAGATGAGTGGTAGCCTACTCAACGTAGTGAGGACATGGAGCCAGAAGTGGAAGGTAAAGATTACATGGTGGTCAAAGGAATAGAAGGGGACAAGCACCCCTTTTGAGAGGTGGCCGTGGGCCTCATCATAGAGGAGGGCTTAGGCCTCACCAGAGAGGTGCTCGTGGGCCTCGTTTGAGAGGTGTGGGTGAACGTGGTAGAGGACAAGACCACAGACCTAGACGCCGGCAGCAACAGCAAAGGGTGTCAAACGAAATCAGAGCTATAGTTGTAGATTATGTCATAAATCATGGCATGACAATGAGTGCAGCAGCTACAATGTTTCAACCAAATCTCAGAAGACCATCTGTGGCCTCAATCATCAGAACTTTCCGCAATGAGAACCGGTAAGTCTTCAGAATCCACTAAAGTTTAAGCTACTTGAAACTGTTACAGTAGATTAGTGTATACAGCATGGCAGTGTGTACCACAGAGTGTGATGTGATTTCTGTAAATGTGTTCTTACTGTGACTTTCTCCCTGCAGAATAGAGACTAGGCCAAATAGGGGAGAGGCAGAAGCAAAATTCTGACTGACCAACAAGAGCAGGCTGTGGTCAATTTGGTTTGGTCCAGAAATGATATTCGCCTTACAGAAATTCGGCAACACATCTTGGACAATGACGACATTTTCAGCAATGTGGAAGCCATAAGTTTGCCGACTATTGCACGGGTGCTGAAAAGACATCAGGTGTCTTTAAAACAACTACATCGTGTGCCTTTTGAAAGAAATACAGAGAGTGAAGCAACTGAGGACTGAGTATGTTCAGGTATGATCAATTTGCCTGTTTTTGGGGGAGAAAAAAATCCCCAAACATTCTTTATCATTGTAATCAGTAATTGTCTTGGTCTTTTTAGAGGGTGATGGAGCTGGATGCTAATGAAAACTATCACAAATTCATATTTTTGGATGAGGCAGGCTTTAACCTGGCCAAGACACCGAGGAGAGGTCGGAATTTAATTGGCCAGCAGGCAACCGTCCAAGTACCTGGACAACGTGGAGCCAATATCACCATGCAATGACGTCACAGCAGATCAGTGTCAGGCCTGGTTTCGCCATGCCAGAAGATTCTTTCCCAGGTGTTTAGCGAATGAGAACATCTATTGTGATGTAGATGAGAACCTGTGGCCAAATCCACAAGACCGGGTTGATGGAAACATAGATGCATAGTGCAGTGAGGAACACTTCAGTTTACAGTACTGTATTGTTTTTTTAATCACATTTTTTCCATTCATGTGTTTTCTGAAGTTGCAGCGCGTTGAGCTCTCTCGGCCACCGTACTATGCCTTTAAAAAGACAAAACTAAGAATAATGCTTTAATTGAGAACTTACCATTCAGGCAAGAAACTTTACGCAAACAGACGCACGCGCTATTATCATTTAGCAAGAGAGACACCGGTTTTAAGGTATTCACACTAACTATACATGTTACACTATAGTAGCCTAATACTGTTTGTATGTACTATATAACGGAATTGTTTTGCACACAATTTTAAACGTAAGTATACCTAATTAAAATAAACGATCTGGGGTGCATTTCCCAAAAGCATCGTTAGCTAACTATGGTCGTTAATTCCATTGAACTCTATTGGTAACGACGGAACTTGCGACCATAGTTCTGGTGATTTTCAACCAGTTTTAACCAGGGCGGCCTGTGGATGAATCTATATGTTACTGAATACAGACTGAATAGTGTTGGTTCATGATGTCATATGGATATTCACCCATCATTTCTTTCAAGGCAGAGTTGCTGCATCCATGGCAACACAAATTGTAATCCGAGCTCTCTGCCTGATTAACACTCAACTGAAGTCATTTACTGAACAAAAAACAAATAAGCGCCACTTCATGTCCTTTAACACTGAAATACATGTGTGTTACTATGGAAAACATTATATGAAGAAGTGAATTACTGTCTGTGAGAGGTGACAGCAGTGAGAATGCGTTGTGTTCAGTGTTTCAGGCTCTCAGATGTCGTTAATTACCATGGAAAACAAGGGCCATGATTATTTTAATAATTCAAAAAACATTCAACACTACAATGCCGAGAGGAAAATGTAATTGCTTAGATGTTGCTTTTTCAGAAAAATACAAATAGACACAAATTAATCTACTGTTGACAAAGTATAAGCAATATAAAGCATTAATGTGGAGATAGTTTGTTTTACCAAGATTGTGAAGAAATATCGAACTTTTGATATATTTAAATATCTACAAAATTGTTTCAAATATCTCTGTCTTGGATATTCACAAGTGCTATTGTTTTCTTTTTTTTCCAGAGTGACCATTAATTAATGCTTCCCTCTATTTAAAGTGTGAAAAGGTTCTACACTCTAAAAAATGCTGGGTTAAATACAACCCAGTGCTGGGTAAAATAGGGACAAACCCAGCAATTGGGTTGTTTTGACCGAGCTCTCTCGGCCACCGTACTATGCCTTTAAAAAGACAAAACTAAGAATAATGCTTTAATTGAGAACTTACCATTCAGGCAAGAAACTTTACGCAAACAGACGCACGCGCTATTATCATTTAGCAAGAGAGACACCGGTTTTAAGGTATTCACACTAACTATACATGTTACACTATAGTAGCCTAATACTGTTTGTATGTACTATATAACGGAATTGTTTTGCACACAATTTTAAACGTAAGTATACCTAATTAAAATAAACGATCTGGGGTGCATTTCCCAAAAGCATCGTTAGCTAACTATGGTCGTTAATTCCATTGAACTCTATTGGTAACGACGGAACTTGCGACCATAGTTGCTTTTGGGAAACACACCCCTGAAACAATTAGCCTACACTTCTAACAATTACATTTGCAGAAAACACATGAGTGATTCTAGAATTGCAGGTACATTCCAACAAACACAAAACGTTCCCATTTGGTTATTTTTTTGGGAACCAAATAAGAACGTTCTAGGAATGTTCCCTGCAGGTTATTTCTAGGTTGAATTTTATAACCTAAAGAGAACCTTCCCAGAACGTTCCCTGCAGGTTATTTTTAGGTTTTATTTTTATAACCTAAAGAGAACCTTCCCAGAACGTTCGCTGCAGGTTATTTTTAGGTTTTATTTTTATAACTTGGGATAA